TCAATACGTATTTTATTAAAGGAATAACTGATTTAGAATAGCCTCCCTTGAATCATATTTTCTCTTAAAACAGAAAATGCCTATTTTGTGTGGGATAAAATTTTTAAATTTAAAAACTAGTCAAAGAGTTGTTTTGATTTAATCTAATTATTTTACTGCTACCACTATGTTTCGATCGACCCATACATTGTTCAGCTTGCAAATATATATTCTTACTCTTAAAATGTCTTTATTGCGATGTGTGTGTGTGTGTGTGTGTGTGTGTATCTATATCTATGCAGGTTTTGTTAAAAACCAGTGAAAGTTCTTTAAGATTTTTTTACTTATTTTTTTTCTTTGGTTCAGACAATTTTCCTGTTTCCAAGATTAGTTTGAAATAAATTGGCCAATGTTTCCAAGTCGTTTTGGCTTTTACAAGTCATCATCAATAATGGGTGGATTTTTTTTTTGTGGTGTCTGAGTGTCTTGTCTTCACTCGAAGTGTTAACCATAAAAACAAACACCCCAGCATTGATCAACTTTCATTCAACGTAGGTGAAAACATATTAATTATATTTCACAATAAAAAAAAAAATAAGACAATATCTAGCAACACGTCACTCAGACACCTATTGACATAACAGGATCAACCCACAAAAATTGATAATGGCTTATGGAAGACATTAGACAATTTATGTTCAAATTCTCGCTGAAAATCAGAAAGATGATTTGAGTTTAAGAATAAATAAGGATTAAAAATAATCTTTTACCATGTGAATATGCGCATGTGTGCACAGGCATTGCTTGCTTTATTGCGCTTTTCAGATATTGCACTTCTTTCATGAATTGATAGTTTGTGAAGGCAAACCTGTGTCATGTAAGTTGATTAATGCTATTTTGCCAGTTACATTTTATCCCTTTTTTAAGAATTTACTTTTAATTAAGATATATACCTTCTTTTATTTATTGGTAGCATTTCTATTGGACACTAAAGAATATTGGAAACATTTCTATGCACTGGGAAATTGAACATTTTGTTAAATTCACGTTAATATGGGGTCTGGAGCTGAAACTACAATATCTGATTATATATATATATATATATATATATATATATATATATATATATATATATTCAAGCATATGTCATGGATATATAATAAAAAGCAGTGTAACCTGTTGTGCAAATATTGATAAGCATACATTAGCTGTTGTACTTTCATATTTCTTCCAAACATGAAAAATACAAAAAAGATATACAAAATCACAGGTATAAATGTATGCATTTTTTGTGTGTTGGGGAATATATGAGTCTGCACGCATATATATATATATATATATATATATATATATATATATATATGTGTGTGTGTGTGTGTGTGTGTGTGGAGGGGGTGTTTGGTGAAGTGTTCACTGGTCAATGAAGCAGAGGAATGTCAGAAAAAAGATACAAGGCTTCTTTAAAGAATTCTTTAAAGAATTCTTTAAAGAATTCTTAAAGAATTCTTTAAAGAATTCTTTAAAGAATTTTTTAAGAATTCTTTAAAGAATTCTTTAAAGAATGTCCTCATCTTTTGTGTCATTGACGACAAGCAATATGCAACAGAAAATGTTAACAAGGAAATGTGATGACAGAAGCTTTTCCAGCCGACTTCTTTTTCTGGAAGAAAACTACAGAAGAATAACTGAGGAAAAGAGGCAGTGTCATTTAACTGGAGTTATGTCCAGTGGACAGACATTCTCTTGCAGACATTCCAGCTGAAATTGCCTATTCTATATTTTAGCCTCATCAGTAGTCTCACAACAGATATGTCTATATGCGTGTGTGTAATGATCATGTTTGCTTGTGTTTTATGGAAAAATGGAATATAATAAAAAATTTGCAACTGTATTGACCACAAAATAAAGTTTTGAGGGGAAAATGATTTTTCAAAAAAAAAAATATTAAAAAATTCAAACATTAAAACCCCATTGGGCACATTTCAAAAGAAAGAAAAAAATAACATTTGTAAAATAAAAAAAAAAAACGTTGTTAGTGTTAGTTAATTAAAACTACCAAGATAAATACTTTAAAAATGATTAAACTTAAAATACCTAAAATATTCTTTTATGAAAAAAAAAAAAAGAAAGAAAAGAAATTTAATTCAATTCTTCACTTGATTGAACCTTGTATTTTCTTTTTTTACTTTGGGATTTTAAACATTCAGCTTTTCAAGGAAGAAAAAAAGGCAAACTAAAAAAACTGAAAAAGATATAAAAAATTACCACTATAAACGAACAAAATAACTCCAAATAAATTTACTCTTTCTGACTCTCCAGCCAAAATAATTTGCACCTGACACGGGTAAATATTTGTGAGCTTCTAAAATCAAAAGTATTGAATAAAGAGAATTAGAAATGACAACTCAAACATTTTATTCCCTGAATTGGTTGAACAGATATTCTCATTCTTATTATTTTATAGATAAGAAAAATAGCATAAAATTGATGCTGCCTGAAGGAAACTCTGTTGCCCTATATATAGGATTGCTCTCCTAATGAAGGAATTATATACCTGAGGAAGGTTGGAGAACCCATCGGCCAAAATGTTGTGATCAAATGAGATTATCTGTTTGAACCATTCTTGGAATAATGATAATTTGTCTTGGAATTTTAGACATTATATATATATATATATATATATATATATATATATATAAAAAAATGCAGAAAATAACCTTGTTTACTTTTTATAACTAAGTAAACAATAAAATAAAAATTTGAAATTGCTTCCATTTTTATCAATAAAAAAGATATTTTTATGAAGAAGTTTTTAAATCTCAAAAATTCTCTGAAGAACCAGGAATTGGACATTTCCAATTTTAAGTTAGAATTTCTAAGATAAGTTCAACTAAAAATAATAAAAAAAGAAAGATTTGCATATATTGTTTATTTTGTTAAATTTTGTTTTCAGATTTATTTTGATGTATTTGATCCTCCAGTTTTGACATCCCCTGAAAAATTCTTAAGTTTCAAAAGGTAGTTTTTATACATTTTGCACCTGGTTTAGGTCGGTTGGGAGAAGTAAGTATTTTATGTATGAAAAGAAACATTCTCTATTTGGCCTTCAATTATATCTATCAATAACTTATGAACATATTTTGATGAAGGATTATAATGAAATACTTTTAAAATGTAAAAAGAATATTTAGTTTACACTGTACAGCAATGTTTATGGAAAGTATTAAAAGAATAATCTATATTTGTAAGTTGTTTATTTTTGCTGTAATTTCTTCATTTATTTAAATTTCTTTAAAAATTATAGTTGAAATAAATAAATAAAAAAGTGTGTGTCTATATAAATAACAAATATTCTTTAACCTTTGGCACTCTATTCATGAGTATTACGTCCACTTCAAATGCATTTTTTTCAAGGCTCCTCAACTGCAGTAGGGTCATATTTAATTTCAGTCAAGGTTGCCATAGCAGGATGTGACAACACAACCACGAAATTCAAGCACACTATCATTCAGTGATTGGAGATGTCTGCAGAGAATGGACAAACTTTTTGATTGGCAACTGAAATTACCTACAAAGTGCTAGAGGTTAAATAGGGTATTTGTCTGTTCTAAATTTTCATGGACTTAGATTAAAGAACCATCAAAAAAAACTTTTTCAAAATTGAAAAAAAAAAAAAAGATTGTAATTGTTAAGACATCTCACACACATGCTTACAACTGATCACATTCAAATGGTGACTGCATTTTATCTGTATTGGTTGTATTAGCTGTCGACTGTTTGTGTTCAGTTGTAGACATGTATACACACGCCTGAGAAAAACTTATGAATCATCAGACGTATTAGTTGATGTGGCATCCAATAGAGTTTTTTTTTCTTTTTTATTGATCATGAATAGAAATAATCACTGATTGATTTTTGCTTGGAAGTTGGTTTTTTTTAAGTGAAGGGAGGGGTTCTTTTTTAATTGAAGGGAGGGGTTCTTTTTTAATTGAAGGGAGGGGTTCTTTTTTAATTGAAGGGATATCACTCTTCTCTTGGCCACAAAACTTATGATTATTTTATTTTCCCTCCATGAGTTATTCAGACAAGTGGTTCCAATCAATTTTAAAAACAACCATGAAAAAAAAAAAAAACTTTTACTTATATCTGAGCCTTTGTTGTTAATACAAACATCTTTATTCCTGTGTAAACTGGCAGGTTTTTTTTTTATTTGGAAAGAAACACATAATTAAAATGGAAATCTCAGTCAATGGCAATGATTGTTTTCAAATATATTTTGATATTATCACTGAATTTCTCTTATGCAAAGATAGCAGCAATGACTGATATGGCCATATATTGGACGTGAGAATTAAACATTTTGATTTCTTTTTCAAAATTTTAAAGACTTTGCTTGAGGAATATATATATATATATATATATAAATATATATTGCCAACTTTGGCTCAAGATAGGTTTAATTTAAAGATGCCAAAACTTTTTCAATAACAGCCATAGTTTGTGTGTTTGGCTTACATTTGAATTTGAGAAAAAAAATTAAATTATTTAAAAAAAATAATTGAATGAAAATCCAGTCTAAGAATCTGAATCAGGAAAATAAATAAATTTTGCTGTAGTGAAGCCAAGACTCAATGGAAACACACACAAAATAAAGTTAATATATAAAACAACTGTGTGATTGTGTGTGTTTTTGTAATGTACATATATGTTCTTTCAGGAACATATATCTACAACTTTAAAAAGCTACAAAATAATTTAAAAACTTTTGGTGGTTGGGTGGGTGAAGAAAATTAACATCAGTGATAAAAACATCAACTTAGATGAGTTAACAATTAACAAAATTCTTTTTTTTTTTTCTCTCTCTCTCTCTCTTTCATTAAAGCCAAAATAAATGGCAGTGACAAAGATTAGCAAATGCAGGGGAAAGTGCAAAGATTGTCAAGGCATGAAAAAAAAAAATTCAAAAACCAAACAAGAAACAAACCAGTCTGTTGTTTATAGAATTGGCCTGAAGAATATTAATGTTGTCTTTTCCCCTGGTTAGTTGCATCTTTAATGAACTCTTGTTTTTCATGTTGCAGCAAATGAGAATTAACACAAAGAAAATAAAATTGAAAATCTAAACTGACTCAAAGAACATTTCAATTAAAAATCTTGTAATACATACTATAAAAATTATTGAAAGTAAGAAGCTATTAACTTATAAAGAACACCTATTATAGAGGGACAATGAGCAATTAATATCTATCTATCTATCTATCTCTTTGAATTATCTAAGTCTATTTATACCTCAGTCTCTTTCTATCTATCTATCTATCTATCTATCTATCTATCTATCTATCTATCTATCTATGCCATTCAGTACAGTATTTACTCTATACTGTATTTTCAAATAGGTCTGATAAAAAATTTGTATGTTTTACTAGGTTTTACATATTCTGGTACAAGGCCACAATTGTGGGGTATTGACTGTGGTTCAACTCTTTAGTTGTATGTCTTCTCAATTAGCTTGTTAATCATTACTCAATAACAAGGCAGCCTCTCATCAAATTTATATTAGTAGAAAAAGAAAGTAATAGACATGCTTAAATGATATAGAGATAGGTTTAGTTAAGAGTTTACAAATGAAAGAATTATTTTCAAAGTCCTGCTATACAAAATAAATTGAAATTAAATTTATCTTTTCAAAATAATCAGTTAAAGAGAGAAATAAAGAAGGTAAGATGACTTATTAGCCCAAAGATAAGTGTAGACTTTCTTTTTAGCTTTGAAATGCAAAACTTTTCTCTTCTTTCTGACGGACATCTTTCTAATCATAGCTTTGATTTATTTAAAGAAACTGGAGACTAAAAAAAACATTTCAGATGCAAATTCAGGACGTCATTTAAGACTGACAGATGTCCTCATATTTAAAGAGGTTACAGTTTGAATCAAATTGTTAAAGTATAAACTGAAATCAAAGGAATCAATTAAAGAATTAATCTAATCAGAAGTGAAAGAGAAATAATAAAAGAGTAGATAATCAACTTTTCTCTACTTCATAGAAAATTTACAGGCAGACAATAAATCTTTTTCTAGAAGTGATAGAAAACTCTGCACTTGATGACACCATCGTTAGCAACAAAAATTAAACAATTTAATTCACTATACTTGAAAGAAAAAAAGTTTATTTATTTATTTTTTTTTTTACTTGTATTTATATTCATCATAATCTCTTAGTTAATTTTTATAAAGATTATTTGAAGATTTTTTTCTTATTGTTATAAAATTATTAATTAAAAAAAAATCTGGAATGCTTTTTAAACTCCAAGTAACATAAATTAATTCATAATATAAATTGATTTAATTGTTTTAATTTGTAGAAACAGGTACTCAGGAGTAATTTAATTTTAATTTTAATGCTTCTGAAACACTGGTATTGATAAAATGGAAGCAGATATGAAAAATACAATTGTTCAATAATGCTTTTAAAGACTTAGAAAAATGTACAAAAAAAAAATCTGTTTATATAAAGCAACCAGATATATACAAAAATTCCAGCGAGAGTTAGAAAGAGTAACATAAAAGCCAGGAGTGATTACCTCAGTTCAAATTACTGTAATGAGATAACACAAAGGCAAAAAGGAAAAAGAAATTGGTGAAAAATGCACTTATATTTACATATGTAACTATATATATATATATATATATATATATATATATATATATATATATATATATATATGTACAATGATATCAGGTAAACATGATGAGAACTGTGTTGGAATGATTGTATTGGGTAGGGGTGGGGAGAAAATAGGTTCTTTAAGGTTCATTTTTATCTAGAGACTAAAAAAGACCAGATCTCATACGAGTTGTATTTCACGAAAAATAGCCAAGTTAATAAGGACAATGGTGTAAAAAAAAAAAAAGAAAATGTTGTCAATGTTGGTCGTAAAAAGTAATTTGATTTGATACACTCATACGTGGCAGATACACAGACAAATTTGGAATATGGCTGAGAAATAGAGTAAAATAGCGAAAAAGGATATAAAACAAAATTTGGAATACAACATTTTCAGGAAAAGAAAAGTGGGTGGGGGATATTACAATGGCTTCTTGGAAAGACATATGCCATGTAATTGCGAAAAGAAGACCTGGATCTAATCTCATAGTGGCTTTGTGTCAACTCTTCTTCACCATCATTTCTTTAGATTTTGACATCACCATTTTCTTTTTTTCCAGTTCTTGATTTGGTAATTTTCAAGTTTATGGCCATGATAAATATAACGCCATTTAAAATGAAAATTATAGACTTAAACCTTATATTTTATTGTTTCAGACCTTTTTATACATTGGACAGAAATCATAATTTTATTTAAAACATATATTTAGTAGATTCAAAAATCAAAATGCAAGCTTGATTCACAGGCTCGTTTATGTTTTTTTTTTACTTTATTGTAATTAAAAAGAAAATTTTATCTCAATATGTGCACATGTAAAAAATCAAGTCTATATTGGAAAATGGACTTTTCATCATAACAAATATGGAAGATATGTCTTTTATAAAAGGGTCTGGTAAATTATGAGGTAGGCATAAATTCTATGATTTTCAGTGGGTTTTATTTGCCTTGACCATATACAAGAAAATGACTGATTTCCATCCCAATTTTAAAATGTACCTTGTTTCATCTTTTCATAGAGAGGAAGAAATAGAAACAGTTGTCAAAGAAACAAATTTGGTTTCAACTTTTTGTTTCAAGGTGGTGGCATGTCACACACACACAAATACACAATATGGAGAAATGAAAGTATATTTTCTTTGATTGAATAAGTAAATGATGGTAAACAAAAAATGACATTTGAAATCAGTCAATTGTTTTTAACCCTCACTCAGTCGTTAAAAAAGAAAGGGAAAAAGATTCAAAAAAATATTTCTATTATCCCAAGACAAAGAAAAAAAATTATGAATAAATTTAGTTTTACTTGATCTGACACAAAGCTATAATTTAAATATCTATCAAACTATTTATTTACAATTAAGGCATGGAATCATATTTTGATATTTTTCCAGCTTCTCTAAATCATTAAAATTTTCATCTTGTAATAAACTGTTTTACTCAAATTGTTTTCAATATTAGGAGAGAAGTATTTAAAAATATTAGAACCCTATTTCTTTAGTGTCATTTTTAAAGTGCATTACACTGGTATAAAAAAACAAAAACAAAAAAAATCAGAAAAATGAACAAGACAAAAAAAACAATGTATCCAATGGTGTTTTTTTTTGTTTAGTTATAAATTGAAAAGATATTGGGCAAAAATATTTATAAGAAATATTTTTTAGGGTGATTTTAGGTCAACACAGTACTAATATCTTTAAAATGGGAGATATTTTGCGAGATTTTGTAGAAAACAATGAAAAATAGAAGACTTTACAAGAGAAGGAATTGAAAAGGATGATACAAAACAAGAAAAGACTAAGAAAAAAAAACAAATACTGAAGGATGTGTGGAGGGAATTGTGAAAGATGTGATGGAAAATCTCTTAAAAATCTTAACATTATTTCACATTTCAGTCTTTTAAAAGATAAAGAATAACAGAAAAAAATGGCAGATGAAACTCTTGTGTGCAAGGTTTTGTTCCCTTCATTAACAAAAGAGTACTAATAATTTCTATGGTCATAGGAAGGCATATCTTTTTTCATAACAACATTTAATTTACTGAGTTATGTATATAGACAGTCATATACACAAATACATATAGACTTATGCAAAGGTATAAAAGAAAGAAAATGCAAAGAAAGATCTTATATAGAATTATGAGTGTACTAATTTTATATATATATATATATAAAAATTTACTTATAAATTAATTTTGTTGTGCTATTTAAGTTTGAAGTTACTATTCTGTTTCTACCAATGATTTTTAAAAATTTTATTTGATAGTAATTCATTAAATAAAAAAGACTTACATGTTTCTTTTATTTTGTTACACAATCTTACTCTTAAATAGCCATATGACTTGTATGCTCCAAATACACATCTATGGAATATATATGTGTATGTATGTGTGTGTATTTTGTGTGTATATATAGAAGAATTTAGTTCCATTAAGAGTAGGGAGTATATATATATATTACATATACAGCATAGTGAGCCAATGATTGCTTAAATATATAGGGATACATTATATATATATATATATATATATATATATATATATATATATAATCATACATGTATAGTTTAAGTAATAGTAAAATAAGGTTGTTTTTGGATATATTTTACGGAAAAATGTTTTTAACTTATTTTTAATATCAATTCACCGGAATTACATTTTCAGTAAAATATTTTCTAAAATTGACATTTTTTTGTTTTAGATGTTTTCAATTTAAAAATCCTCTTTGAGGCTTCTCTCTAAACTTTTTTTTATGTGTGTATATATATATATATATATATATATATATATATATATATATATGGTGTGTTTGTGTGTGTAAAGGCATGTATATCATATTTATACAATAATTGATGTGAGATCTTTTTGCTTACAATACATATATTGCACATGTATATATTTTTGGCATTTAGTGTATGAAAATCAGTGCAAAACATTGATGAAGGCATGTGTGCAAAGGATGACATAAGTGTACAAACAAAATTAAACAATGTTTAATTGACTGGAAGTTAGGATTTAAAATTAATCAATTTTTTGTTTCTTTGATGACTTCATCAGGTTTATATCACATATCTGTTTCTTGTTACATTTTAAATCAGATTGTTTTTGTTTTGATAGAGAGATAACCTATTGTATTTTGGAAGCAAATCAATCGCGATCACATTGTTCAGAAGATTGTACAAAAAGATATTGAAATATTAAGAAAGTCTACTTTATTATTTTATTTGTTAATTCATTATTGATTACCTAGGAATATATTTTTCAGAATTATATTAACTTTTAAAACTGTTTTAGAGGCAGGATTTATAAATGTCTCTAATATATATATATATATATATATATATATATATATATAACCAATTTGTGACTGTTAGGGATAATTCCAAGGAGGATATTAATCCAGGGAGAGCTCAATGTAAACTACAGAGCATAATAATAATCCAGGACAAAACTATAAATATTCATTTTTGTTATAATTTATTTAATGAATATTTCTATATATTCATCTCTTCAAACTGAAATCTTTTAGCAAAAATCTACTAAAAGATTTTCATCTAAAGAGATGAATATATAGATATTCATGAAATAAATTATAATCAAAATGAATCTTTAAGATTTTCTTTTTCTTTATTATTATTATTATAATGACATTATATATATATATATATATATATATATATAGTAGTACTAGTATTAGTAGTAGTAGTAAACTATAAAATCCAAAA